GTCACTGCTGTATTGAAGGTGTTGATCCACGTGTCCATGTCTGTGTCATTATTGTTACCAGCATCAATGACAGTGAGTGGTGCACACTTTCCTCCTATCATGGCTTGGAAGGCTTCTGCTACTTCTGGGTCCTTTAGTTTTTCGAGATCAAACTTCACCCTTGTGTTTCCGTGCTTTTTAATTCTCTTCAGGTGGTGGCGAAAGGTCATCATCACAAGATCGTTGTCGCTTCCAACGTCTGCTCCTGGGAATGTTAATGTTTTTCCAATTTTGACACTGGACTGGTAGCACTTTTTCACCATGATGTAGTCAATCTGGTCGTGATGTTCTCCACTTGGACTGTGCCATGTCCATCTCCGTGATGTAGTCAATCTGTGGACTGTGCCATGTCCATCTCCGTGATGTAGTCAATCTGGTTGTGATGTTCTCCACTTGGACTGTGCCATGTCCATCTCCGTGATGTAGTCAATCTGTGGACGGTGCCATGTCCATCTCCGTGATGTAGTCAATCTGGTTGTGATGTTCTCCGCTTGGACTGTGCCATGTCCATCTCCGTGATGTAGTCAATCTGTGGACTGTGCCATGTCCATCTCCGTGATGTAGTCAATCTGGCTGTGATGTTCTCCACTTGGACTGTGCCATGTCCATCTCCGTGATGTAGTCAATCTGTGGACGGTGCCATGTCCATCTCCGTGATGTAGTCAATCTGGTTGTGATGTTCTCCGCTTGGACTGTGCCATGTCCATCTCCGTGAAGCTTTGTGTTGGCCTAACGTGTTTGTCAGCACTAGGTTGTTATAGCTGGCAAATTCCTGGAGCCTTAGACCTCTTTCATTTGACTCTGAGTTGCAGTATTGTCCGCATGTTCCTTTCCAGTTCTTGTATGCATCCTTTCCTACTTTTGCATTCCAGTCCCCTTGTACAACGATGATGTCTTTTTTAGGGGTCTGGTCTATCACTTCTTGTATCTGGTCGTAGAAGCCCTCCGCAGCCTGTTCATCATAGTCTGACGTCGGGGCATACGTCTGAATTATAGTGATGTTGAATGGGACTGCCCTGAGGCGGATGGTAATAAGCCGGCTAGAAATAGGGCGGCAGCCCATGACCGTATTCACGATGTCTTTGTGAATAAAAAATCCAACGCCATTCATATGCTTGTCCTCTTCTCCACTGAAGTACAACTTGTGGCCTTCTTGTGTCGTGATCTCCCCGAATTTCTTCCACCGTACTTCGCAAAGTCCAAGTACGGCCCATTGATATCTGTTCATCTCGTACGTAAGCTCTTCTAGTTTTCCGGCTGTTCTCAGTGTCCGTACGTTCCATGTGCCAATGGAGATGTTGTTTCTGGCACGAATCTTCTGTGCATCAGTAGCATACTTTTCACCTCCGTTCTGGTGCACAACAGCGGAAGGCGCGGTCCTTGGTGACCCGGGCGACGACCGATCCGGTATAGTCTCTGAGCTGTTAATCATTTCATGTGGTGAGTCTTGGGCAGAGAAGCTTGGCGGTGCCCATCCCTCGCCAAGCTCTTAACCGTAGGCCGATGTCCACGAACATGATGTGGATCGCCCCCGATCGCATACACTTGACCGTTGAGCTCAGCTTGGAACCCTTCCGCTCTGACCGTTGGGTCCGTCATGGGACCCTTCCGCTCATGGCCGTTGGCTGTTTGATGCTGCTCATCCGCCCAGTGGTGCAGTGTAAACACCACCATTGTTGGTTGATTTATGGGGTTTATAATTAAACAAACAAAAATTGGGGGGATAGTGGTTGGGGGAGTAGTTTTTGTTGTGGTTTTGGTTTTGGGGTTGGGTTTGTTTTAGTTGTTTTTGATGTTATTGTTCTTATTTAGAGCCTCCAAGCAAAGACATGAATGACGAACCCTGACTACTAATATCTATTTCAGATTCAGCACTTTTTGATTATTATCGTTGTTGACTTTGAAAAGCAGGGCCAAAGCCCGCCTCCTAAATTATGTAAGTAGTGTAAAACTTGAACTATTTTTATTTGGTTGTTTTTTTCCTTTTTTGGTCAACAGCTGGTCTCGATGACGTATGCAGCGCTGACGCCGACTGCCAGAATGTGGTAGCCAACAGTGTGTGTCGACAGTCTGTCTGTCACTGTGCTCACGGCTTCATGGAGAAGGCCAAAAACCGTTGCAAGAGGCTCCTCATAGACGACCCTTGTCGGGAGGACTCCCAGTGTCTGGTGCTGATAGAACACAGCGAATGTCTGAGTGGGGTCTGTCAGTGTTTGTCTGGACATAAGCCGAAGAACACACTGAAAAGAGATTGCGTCCAGAGACGTTTGGGAGACTTATGCAAGGATGATAAAGATTGTAATGACGTTATTGATAACAGTGTATGTTACAGAAGTGATAACAGCTCAATAGAGGGTGTATGTGCGTGTGGGAAGAGTTACAGAGTGGAGGCTGATGGGTGTGTGATCAAATCTTTAGGCGATCAGTGTATTGATGATCAGGAATGTACAATGGCTGTGAATAATTCGCGTTGTTTGCAGAACACATGTGTCTGTAACGCAGGGTATAAAAATCAGAGAAACAACAATACAGTGTGCCTGCCACTTGAGCTAGACGACTCCTGCCTCCGTGATGAAGATTGCGAGGTCGGAGTGGCGAACAGCGTGTGCTCTTCAGACAAAACGTGCGTCTGTAAGTTCGGGTTTTTCTCCCCTTACGGCGCGGTCCCTCAAGCCTGCATCAAACGGCGCGTGAACGACCCTTGCATGACTTCAAGCGACTGCAAAGCTACCGTACCCAGAAGTAGATGTATAAACCGGAAGTGCACTTGCGGAAGGGGTGTGACCCCGTCTGCCAATATGACCAGCTGCAGGTTTATAGAGCTTCACGACGTGTGTGGGGAAGATGCGGACTGCATGCACGTGCCTTATAGCTCCTGTCTCAACCGGCGATGTTACTGTCAGAAGGGACACCGTGAGTACAAAGAGGACCACGACTTTAAGTCCACGTGCATCGTGCGAGTGATAGGGGACGTGTGCAGAGACAATGACGATTGTGGGTTGGACCATTCCTTGTGTGATAAGTCACGGAATAAGTGTGTGTGTGAGACAGGATTTCTGCCAGTGGATAGTTTGGATCAATGTCGTGAGCGGAGAGTCAATGAAACCAGCTGTAGTAGCGACGAGGAATGTCAGAGAGCTTATAACCACACGATATGCAAGCCTGACCCGGCGGAAGGACAAACTGGAGTCTGTCAATGTGACTCACTTTCTGTTCCGGTAGGGGACGGGACTGAGTGCATCTTCTCTCACATCGGAGATCGGTGCGGCGAAAGTAGCGAGTGCTCCCGCTCTGTGGCTAACAGCAAGTGTGATTCGGGGGTGTGTCGATGTCAGGAAAACTACACACCATCTGATGACGTCAGAACATGTCACATCAGAACTCTTGGAGGTCTTCAATGTTCTCAGGACTCTGAATGCCTCACTCGTGTAGCTAATAGCGTTTGTGAGAAAAGTCAAGACGGAGAAAACGGAAACGCAACCTGCGCTTGTGCAATAGGCTACAAGATGGCGGAAAACCGAGACAAATGTTTGCCGAAAGGGATCAGCGACCCGTGCCAATTTGACGCTGACTGTGAAACCACCAACCCCAACTCTCATTGCTCCTGGGACACTTTCTCCTGCCAGTGTCTTCCCGGGTACACTGTAGAAACTCCCACTCCTTCTGTCAGTAGCGATAGTGACTCACCCGCCAACCGCCCGGTATGTTCTCAGAGGAAGCTGGGTCACCAGCTGTGTGCGTCAGATTACGACTGCTCAACTGTCATTGCTAACAGTAAATGTGGGTCGTGTGGGGAATCCCCACCCGGAAGTCAGTGCAGACGTAAGTGCGCATCTCAGGGGAGTGTGTCTTCTAGTCAGCTCGACAGTACCGTTGTCAGTGACGCTGTGACGTCAGAAGGGGTACAAATCAACCCTGGGAGCTGTACGGTTGAGACATGTGTGTGCAGAGAGGGGTTCCTTGCTGTTGGAGGTGAGTGGAGATCTCTTCTAAATTAAAGTTGTACGATACCTGCGACACAAAGAAGTCAGTGCCGAGGATTAGAGGTGTTATTAGAATGTAAACATATAACAAAGGGAAGGACCTCGTGTGTCTCATGTCCCAGCATGTATATTTTCTTTGTTCATCTATAAAGTTATCATGTTGTGTGTTAGTTGTGAGGGAGACAGTAAGTGATGGAAGGAAAAGGAAAGAAAAAACGAGTCCAAAAGAAAGGGAATGAAAAGGGAGAGAGAGAGAGACAGAGAGAGAGAGAGAGAGAGTGTGTGTGTGTGTGTGTGTGTGTGTGTGTGTGTGTGTGTGTGT